GAGGGAGTAATAAAGTCCTTCCCAGACAAGCAATCACTGATGGATTTTGCAAAGACCAGACCAGCCCTACAGGAAGTACTCAGACCTGCATTACACACCAAACGGCATAATAGACATTCTTCAAAGTAAAATCATTCATGAGTTAAAGCTTATAATGTGGACTTCATGATGGCTCAAGGAGCAAAACAAAACAACAGGATTTCACCCAATGATGTGAATGGAAATCTACCACAAATCTCAATCCTCTCAATAAATGTGAATGGCCTGAACTGTCCTCTGAAGAGATACAGACTGGCAGAGTGGATAAAAATCCACAAGCCTAGTATCTGTTGTCTACAGGAAACACATCTAATCCACAAAGATGCCTTCAGACTAAAGGTCAAGGAATGGAAAACTATCATCCAGGCAAATGGAAGTCAAAAGAAAGCAGGGGTAACTATACTATTTTCAGATAACATAAGCTTTAAAATATCAAAAGTAAAAAAGGACAAAGATGACCACTATATCATAGTGAAAGGGAAGATCCAACAAGAAGAGTTAACAATTCTTAATATCTATGCACCCAATACACGAGCACCCAGTTACATAAAGCAAACTTTGTCTGATCTAAATAGCATGATAAACAATAATACCATAGTAACAGGGGACTTCAACACTCCACTGAATGAACTGGACAGATCTTCCAAACAGAAAGTAAGCAAAGAAATAATGGACTTAAACAGAGCTCTTGAACAAAAGGGTATGACAGATCTCTACAGAACATTCCACCCAAATAAAGCCAAATTTACATTCTTCTCATCGGCCCACGGAACTTTCTCCAAAATTAATCACATTATAGGCCACAAATCAGACTTCAAAAAATTCAGGAAAATAGAAATTATATCCTGTACTTTCTCGGACCATAGTGGTATAAAATTAGAGTTCAATTCCAGCAGAAATACTCACCACCTCACGAAGTCATGGAAATTAAACAATCTATTGTTGACTAACTCCTGGGTCAAGGAGGAAATACAGAGGGAAATCAAGAACTTCTTCTAACTAAGTGATAACACAGAAACAAGCTATCAAAACCTGTGGGATACAGCAAAAGCATACCTGAGAGGAAAACTAATAGCAATAAATGCTCATATCCAAAAAACAGAAAGTTTAAAAATCAACAACCTAATAAATAGAATCAAGGAATTGGAAAAGGAAGTGCAAATCAATCCAAATCCTAGTAGAAGAAAATAAATAACTAAGATCGAAACAGAACTAAATGAAATTGAGAACAAGAGAACTATATGGAAGATCAATAAAACCAAAAGTTGGTTTTTCAAAAAGATAAACAAAAT